TCATAAATCGATGAATTTTGGAAAAATAAGAAAACTCCGCTATCAAAAAGATTTGACGAAGTTAGCTGCAAAATTGAAGAAGCCGCGAGGAATGAAAAGAATCAATAGAATCATCTCATGCACAGCCACAAATTGGATACTCCTTGTCCGCAACAGCAACAAATCCACAATTAAATTTGTAGCGCTGTAGCTGCCAATTTTCATCAGAATCAAAGATGAAAAAAAAACGAACGTTTCCACGAGAAACCTACCTGATGGTCCACAAAGATTCCAAGATCACGGAAAAATTGTTCGGATTTTTCCGACAACAAACAAGAAATGGTAAAAATTAGATGCATGCGGATTTGCCGCAAACTTAAAGCTAATTCATCTCTCAAAAAACCTCGCCCTGGAAGGACACTGGCCTTGGCAAGCACCAGACAGAACGTTAAGAAATAAAATCGATCCTCAAAAACAAATGAAGATTCATTTATAGATCACTCCCTCTCATTCAGGAATCAGCTGTTTGCCCGTATTCTAACGATTTTTTCTCCGCTAGAGCTAAAATTAGAATTAATTTCCACAACGAAGAACGGATTCGCAAAAAAAAACGTCAAAACATCCCCTATCGCAATAGTTCAAAGCAGTCCACCTCGGATTTCGGCTTTCAAAGCTGTTGAAAACAGAATTCGGACATCAGGACCAACTTATATCAATGCAGGTCACCGGTTTTTTAAAAGAAAATAATTTTCAAAGCAATGTGTGCCAAGAAAAAGTGTTGAGCTGACCATGTGGGATAGCAGAAGAGAAGAATCGGGCTTAAGTGCCATGTATAAAAAGACATTCAACGATGCACTCTCTGTGTTTCATCCCTTAGCTGTAAACACAAACCAAACTGTGCATGTGGGTAATAGCGGGAATCATCAGTACCACCTCCTATCCGCCATGTTCTTATAACAGTCATGTAATTAATTTGCAAGACAGATATGCGAAACAAAGAAAAATCAGTGAGAGAGCAATCAGAACAATCTATATAGTATCGAAAGGATGCAGGGAAGACTACCAGTGCGTGGAAGAATCCGTTCGAACGGCTATTTGAAAATATGTGTGAATGAAAAACGCATAAGTTAAGCAAAAAGGTGAAATTCACGAAATTCGGCGAAAAAAAGTGACCATAGAACAACAGCTAATCAAAAAATTTAAGAAAAAAACACTATTACCGCCCACAAATTGACCATCAAAAGTGACCATCATTAGACGCAAATTCGGTTCTAGCAAACATTGGAAGTTAGCTGTGTGGGAATGGTGTGAAGCTCCGCTCTCATGAATGGTCAGATGAAAAAAAAGCATGCCAGAAGGTAAAGTTTAAAAACATAAACAAATGTATACAACTTAATGGACCGAAACATTTTTTAACAATTACGAATAATTTTATAAAATCTCCCCTTCCGCTTTTTTCACTTCGTTCTCCCTCTCTTCTTTATTCTTCTCCTCATTTTCTATCTTATCTTTAAATACATTTAAGGTTAAAAGAAAAATGTAAGAATGATGATGGAATAATATAAGAAAGGATGATGGAAAAAGGTAAGAAAAGAAGGATAGGAAAAAGAAGTAATAAATTAGGTAAGAAATTGTTCCGGTCCATTAAGTCGTATACATTTCTTACCGCTACCACAATTGGACCTTGTCAGTACAACGACTGTGGTAACAATATAATTTAGTTGAGAGTAAGAATTAATTAAGATGAAAAGGATATAAATGATGTAACTGATGTTAAGGATGTAAATTGGAAGAAATAAATTGAGTAAAAGAAATGGAAACTCTTAAAGAAATTGGAAAAAAGGTAAGAATAAAAGAGGTATAATGGTGTAAGTAGAAAAATCTAATTGCTTACACACCTTTTTCAGGTCCACTAATCGGCGTTGCAATCGTTGTAGTTCGCGCATTGCCGATTGATAGATC